GGGGCACGCAGTCCTCGGAGCCCTCACGGTTCTTGTTGTCAAGACAAGGCTGCGAGTGAGTTACGAAAATCCAACCCGAGTGAGGATTTATTGGCTCACGTGACCAGATTGGTCAGGCCAGCTTTAGGGGGTCACGGCTCCCGTGTTTTCCAGCCGCCCAGCCTCTGCTCGTCTGCCAGAACCCAGCGAGGTAACAGTCTTCGTGGTTCTGACTGGGTCATGTGACCTTGGGCTTCTGACCCCGAGCGTAGCGTGAGCCCCCCCAAGCTCGTGTTCCCGAGGAAGTCAGGGCTGTTACGTGAGGAGCGGGTCGAACCTGCGTGTATCCAGCATCTCAAAGGCCTCGTTTCTCACACTGGCCTCCGCTGGCCTGCTGTGTGATAAAAGATGGGGCCCTGGCAGCCACGCTGTGTCACGTGACCCCGCCCCGGCCACAGCTGACCTGACCCAACCGGTAGATGCCCGACTCAGTGACCTTATCCGTGGATGCAGCCAGCGGGGAGTCCTGGCTGTCCTGGCTCAGAGCATGCCGTGCACCCCATCCCTATGCCACATTCAGGGAGCGTTGGTGGCTTGAAATCCCCAGCCAAGTCCGTGGTATTTACACCCGGGAACTGGCAGGCGCTGGAGCAGGCCTCCCTGTAGAGCCAGCTGCTTTTCTCACGCCTCTGTGTGGAGCCGCCTCTGGTCGGATTCTCCAGTCCATGAATGAGGACCTAGTTAGTGAGGGGAGAGCGGGGATGCCACCTGGGAAGCCCGCGTGCTGCGGGCTGGCGTGGCCATGTTGGGCCAGAAAGGCGGCCGGACAATGGAGGCAGAGGAGAGGAGAAATGGATGCTGGGCGGCCCAGTGCCTGGCCCTGAGCCCTCGCCCTCCGCATGCTCATTGCCTGCTCCCTCCTCGGGGAACTGCGGTGGCTAGTGGTGTGACCCTGGGTTAGGTGCTCACCCTCTCGTGCTGGTAATGGCTGTGCATATGCGTGCCGTGACAGCTGTGCGTGTGCTGTGACAGCTGTGTGTGTCGTAATGGCTGTGCGTGTGCATGCCATGACGGCTGTGCATGCTGTAACAGCTGCGAGTGTGCATGCCATAATGGCTGAGTGTGAGTGCTGCATGCCGTGACAGCCGTGTGTGTGTGTGCCATGGCGGCCATGCGTGTGCATGCTGTGACAGCCGTGCGTGTGTGTGCCGTGATGGCTGCTGTTTGTCTTAACCCAGCAGATCTGTGCACCTTGCGATCAGTGATCCCCAGGAGACCTGGGTCAGGTTTTCAGCCTCTTAATCCCATTACAAGGCCTCACAGAGGATTCAGGAGGGTGTATTCGCACTACAGTGGACCCTAAGGGCAATTTCAGCATCTTTTTTTTTAGTTTTGTTTTTGCCACAGGGCACGTAGGCTTGCTAGAGAGAGACAGAGAAACTGAGGAATCACCGCCCAGGGGGAGGGCCACATGGAATGCCTTCTCCATGGCAATCCCTTCATTGTCTTTGAATTTTGGACACACACGTGTACCCAGCATGATTTTCAAGCCACCAGGTCCAGGACTGGAACCATGACTGGCCATGTGGGAGTCCAGAGCCTTAACCACGTCACCGGCTGGCCCCGTGGTATTGTGTGCAAACTGTGGATGTGGGTGGGGGAGGACCACAGGCACACTGGCAGGCAGCAGCGCTCAGCCTGAGTGGCCCTCCTGCTCCAGCTGCCAAGTCATGGAAATCCTTGAGCTCAGGGCCTGTCCTGCGGCCTCTGGCTGTTAGGCTCCCTCTGGTGCCTCAAGCTCCTTGGAGAAGAGGGGAGGCGGGCGGCTGAATTCTGTGCAAGGGGTGGGCAGGTGTGGTTCCGCTCCTCACTTATCGTGAGAGTCTTGGCCCTCCTGTGAGAAAAGGCAGGTTAACAAGAAAAGCATGAGTTTATCCCATCAAAGTTTAACGCTACTGGGGAGCCTTCAGAAACGAAGACCCAAAGACACGGGGGACCTGTTTAATGATGTGGGATGGGCAGTCGGACAGCCGTGTAGACGTGGGACTGCATAAAGGGTGTGTCCTGATGGGCGAAGAGGATCCAGCCAGGCGTCTGTTCAGATTCTCCTGGCCCCTCCGAGCAGCCTTCCTCCTCCTGAGCAGGGCAGGCCCTTGAATGAGGATGTTCGAGAGACCAAGGGAAGAGTGACTTTATTGGGTGTGGTTGCTTTGGGGAGGTTTCCAGTTTCTACGGGCTGCCCTGGGGAAGGGGAATTCTGGCTTCAGGAGAGAAAAGGGGCAGGGGACAGGAGGGCTCACCCGGAGGCCCTTCCCGTCCCCTCTAGTCCGAAGTGCCGTACTTCTGGGGTATTGTGCTGAGTGTCGGCATCCTAGGAAGTTGGGCCAGTGGACTGTCCCCTAACCACTGAGCCCCATCCTGGTTCTGAGAGGAGGTTTCAGCCAGCAGCATGGGGGGCTGGAGTGTGCCTAGCAGAGTCGGGTCTCTCCGCCGACGGAGCAGTCGGGTGTTTAGTAAGAGGTATTTCCATGTAAGCCAAAACCCCCACAAAGGCCCGCGGTATAGACCAATGCGAAGATCAGTGTTTAAGTCCAGAAAGCAGCCATTTGGGAAGTTTCTAGAAGTTTTCGAAGCATCGTCGGTAGGAGGGAGGGAAGTCTGACAGTCTCCGGGCTCCCAGTTCACACCAGGTGTTTGGCGGTCTCTGGAGGCCTCCCGCAGCCACAGGCGTGAAGGCGGCTGGACGTGAGCCCTGCTGGAGGAGGTTCTCCGCAGTCGAGCCCCAGCCTGGGCGGAAGGGCAGCGTCCGGGCCCAGTGACGCCAGCCAGAACGGGGGGAGGAACGCAGAGACCCGTTTGGAGCCATAGCTGGGTGTTGGAGGCAACCGAGTCAGGATCCGTGAACTCAGACCGTGAAGAGCAATTCTGCACCTTGGCCGACGGCAACAGCTTTCAGAGAAGGTTCTGTGGGAGACAGACTTACAGTCCGGCAGAGGCCCGGCTCCCTGGCACAGCAGCCATGCCTACTCGAATGAGGCTGGAGCCCGCGTGGCGACCGCGGTTGAGTCCCTGGAGCAGGAGTGCCCAGGATCCGACAGCCTGGAGGGCTGGAGGAAGGGGATCCTGGCACGCCCGGGCCTCCCGCTCACTCCCATCGCACACGCACACGCACACGCTCTGTCGTGAATAAAGGGAAAAAACCTGGTTAAATCTGATGAGAGTTCGTTGTGATGACACAACTCTTGAAATCTGATGATTTCTATGGTATGGGACATTTTCACATAACGACCAAAATGATGACCACGCTTCAAATCCCCAGGAGTGGAAGGGACCCGGCTTGCTGGCACTCCGGTGGGAGGCGCTCTCTCCCCCCCCTCCCCAGGAGTGCACGTGTGCTCTAGCAATGGAAAAAGTAAATCCTCTTGTGCATTTGCCAGAGAGCAGAGACAGCCCCTTCCTCACCCCCATGGCAGAGCCTGGAGGCTGTATTCTCCCGGTCAAAGCCCCACGCTCGGGACTCAGGGCTGAGATGGTGTTCCTGGAGCCAAAGGGCCTGTAAGGGACCGGTATGGCCAAGGCAAATTTCCACGAGCTGCAATCCAAACAAACGATGCTGTCCTGCTGATCCGGACTGACCAAAGAGGGACCGAGGGCGAGCCTCGCCCTCCCTTCTCAGCCGGGCACTATAGGCCGAGATCCAAGACAGCTGACATCGGTTAGAATAAAACAAACCTTCCGTTTTCTGTGGCCTCTTTGTCAGGGCTCCTAGGATCTCACCTGCAGGCCCTGGAGTGCCAGGTGTCTCAGCGGGCCCGTAGTGGGTGCTAGAAACTGTAAGGAGTGGAAAGGTGTGACCTTTCCTCACTCATAAGCCGCCATGCCTTTAAAGACAGGTTAACAAGAGAAAAGCGTAACACACTGAAAGTCTTCTGGGACAGGGAGCCTTCAGAAATGAAAACGCAAAGTCCGGGAACGCTGTTCTACGTTCAGGCCAGTGAAGAATGGAAGCTGCAGAAAGGGGGTTGGTGGAGGGGTCCGATCTTGCAGGGAGGCAACGGGGGACCCAGGAAGGTGTGTCTGCTCAGACTCTTCATGGCCTCTCTGTGCGGCATTGAGGCTGGAGTGCTCTCAGCCCACGCTCACGAGGACTTAGAGACGTGGACAGAAGAACGTGCAGTTTATTAAGGAAAGAGAAAACGCTTCCATGGTAGAGGAAGGGGGCCTGCACGCGTTGCCGAAGAGGGGCTGGAGGCGAGGGCTTTAGACCTAGCAGTCTGAGCGCTGGGCTGGCTCTCCCATCAGGAAGTGGGCTCTGGAAAATGGTTGCGTGGTCGCCTGAGGGGCTCGTTCCCCCATTCTCTGTGGGTCAGCAGCATGGCCACCTGCACGTCTGCTTAGAAGACAGTTCCTGAATGGAAGCTGTGCCCTCAGCTAAGTTGCTCTGAGTCCCAGTGCAGCCAGCCTTTGGCTGGGAGGACGTCGCCACGGAGACTCCATCTTGGCCTTCACTCTGTCCCTATGAGCAGGGAGCCGTACGCTCTCCAGTGACATGTAAAGCGGTTATATATTGTACATTAATCAGACCGTAAGGAAAAAACAGGGTTTTACCAAACAGAAAAAAACAGAAACACCACCGCGACTTCCTTTTGGGGCCCTTACCCTACCTGTGCAGTCCAACCCCTACCTCCGCCTCCCTCCCTCTCAGGCCTGGGCAGCACCTCTGGAATGACAGTCTTCAAGGGAGAAGGAAAGGGGTTCTTGCCTTTAGGGGTTTTCTAGTTTTTTGTTTTAATTATTTTTAATTTTGCACTCCCTAGAGAAAAACAGAGCGAGGGGGAAGAGAAAGCAGCCCTCCCCCTTAGGGAACTGTCACATGCAGTCCCTTCTCCATCTCTCCCTCCTGTGGAGATTTTCAACAGCGAGGGACACGTGCCAGTGTGTTTTTCAAGTCCCCGGGTCTGGACTTGAAGCATATGATGGACAGTGTGGGAACCGGCTGCCTTAGCTGGAGGAGTTCGACCCGGTAGGGCCCCAGGATGTGTCTTGAGCTTTTGACCTCTACCTCTTAGGTCGGGTCAGCATGTTGGCAAGGCCGCTGCTGTGTATCCCCTGATCTAGGAATAAAACTTAGGTCGAATTAGCATATTGGCAAGGCTGCTTACTATTTGCTCTGGAAACTGTGGTAGCCTTGCTAGGCCCCCCCCCCCGACTCCCTGATATACTATAAAGATTTACATAGCTTTCTTATACATCCTGAGTATATGATAAATTTTCCCCTGGACCGCTCCCCTTTGCTCTGACCACCTACTGTTAATGACAATGCTTTACTCCAGACAGTCACAACAGAGGGGTGATGAAGTCACATCTAGGCAGAAATAATCTTGACCTTTGGAAGGCCCTTCAAGATACATTTAACATAAACTTAAAGATAATCTTTTCTTTACATAAAATAGGATTAGGCCAAAACTGGCCCAGGACACCCCAGCCCTCGCCAAGTGAAATAGATAAATATATTAGGATTCCTTAAATTAAGTTTTAAATCCCTATCGAACTATGTATCATTCTTTATTAAGATCCATAAGAACTAATCTATACTTGAGATGTTCTCAGCACCATTGCCGGTAATCACAAGATGGCTGCTGCGCCGCATCAGCTGATAATCATCTCTGCTTACCGGAACCGCTTTCCGAAACTACATCCCATGGAGACCCACCAACATCAAACGAACAATTGCGGAACTGCACTAGACCCGCCCTTAATCCAACCCTAAATGGAATCTATGATCCCTATTGAACTAATAATTAGAACACGTAGCCCCTCACCCACTTACTTGCACGTAACACATTTTCCATAAAAAGGCACGATGATTCCTAGCAGTGGTCACTCCTCAGAGAGCAATCTCTGCGGGTGTCCGACTGAGGACCTGCATGAAAAAGGCACTGAGGGAACCAGCAGTTAGCGTAATGGCTATGTCGCTGAACTCCCACGTAGTCCACCGCGGTTCATGTCCCGGACCCGGTGGCTTAAAACTCACGCCGGGCGCGTGTGCGTGCGTGCCCAAGATCCCAAGAGAATGGAGGAGAAGGGATTGCGGCGTGACCATCCCCCCTGGGGGGGTGATTTCTCGCTTTCTGTCTCTATGTCTCTGTCTGTCTGTCTGTCTGGCGAGCGCACGCGCCCTACAGTGAAAATCTCTCCAAAAAAAAAAAAAAAGGCACCGAGGCCCCGCTGGCACTTAGCGACTAGGCCACTGAGCCCACCCAGGTTTCCAGTTTCAGTGGCCTGTCTTGGGGAGGAGGAGTCTGGTTTCTATGACTTGGGGGGAAACGGGCAGGAGCCAGGAGGCTGGAGAAACCCAGGAACGCGTTCTTCTGCAGCCTTTCCACCAGCTTGGCCCAAAGGACTGCGAGCAGCCGAGGGGGTCCCACGTTTGGGGGGAACGTTCCTGCTCCAGTCTGACCTCTGGGAGTACAGTATCCGTGCCTGGGCATGGCAGCAACTGGGTGTCCCTCTGAAGGCGGGGAAAAAGTTTTTCTCTTCAAGTGAGATGCTCGCCCAAGGCCAGGCCCTCCCCTCCCACCCCTGCGGATGGGCTTTTTGCACCAATCTTTCTCTGCCCGCCAAAGTGCCACGCAACTTCCAGAAGCGTTCCCCACGGCTTCAGGGGCTCGCGTCGCCTGCTCCCCAAGATTGTCTGGTGGCGAGGCCGGGGAGGAGGGTGAGGGCCAGGCCCGGCAGAGCCAGCGTGCCCCGGGCGCCCGGCGGGGC